CTATGAGTTACTTATATTCATGTCTGTCTTTTCAAGGAAGATTACTTAACAGCACCCAGATAAAGGATATAAATCAAACCTTTTTACCATATTATGCTCAGAAAATTAGCTTTATGAATGTTTTAATGTTAATGTTACTGAGCAGAAACATATTTTTGGGTGTCTATTAAGCATGAGACAGTATGGAAATTAAAAATTGTGATTCATGTTGTATCAATAATCATCCAAATATGCTCTCAAACTCTTAAAATGACATTAAAACATACTGAAATCACTTTAAAACTTACATTTTGTTAAGACACAAATATTTTTATTGCATCACAGATATAAAACATATTTTTTTAATGAGCATACTTTTAAGTGAAAAACAAACTACCTTAAAAAACAACAACAGGCCTTTCATGTATTTAAAATAGCATTATACCTTTTGATGAAATATGCCTGTGCTGATTAAGATCTTTTGTGTTTTTTGTGCTTGGTGTGTACGCAGCCTGTTTGGCAGTGTCTCTATTATTGTTGGTCGCCTGGCAATCTCTTTGGAAGCTGCTGGACATGATGTTCACGATTATTCCCATGATAGAAATTCAACACAATCAACTTTTTGTGAGTGGTTTTTATGGCGGTTCATGTTTAATTCATATATTGTCCCATCCCTAGTGAATATTTCATGGGCTGCAGTGTCCTTACACAGACATAGCTTTAGCTAGTGCAATGTACAATACATTTTATTTAAATGTTTTTATCATAGTAGTCCTTCTTAAGATCAGTTTTGGACACAATTTTCAAGAAAAACGAAAGAAAAAATATGAAAATAATTTGTTTCTCCAGCTTGAATTAAAATATTTTGGGGTATTATTTGCAGAGATGTGTTTACATGGGTTCAACTCTATAAATGTGTCATACTTAAATATGACGAACCAATTCACACCATATGGCATCTTAAAAACAAAATGAACTGCAAGAAGAGCTGACCGAACCACCAAATGTCTAATCCATTAAATCTGTCTTGATGTCAGAGGATGATCAACTGTTGATAAACTCAGTGGCCCCTTCATGCTGATGGCTGACCGAGCAGGCTCTGCTGGAACACTGTGATCCCACACAGCCGCTGCCCACTGCCATTAACTGTTGTGCGCGTCTAAGAAACCGTGTCTTTAACTCATTCCTCGAGTTTACACTCTTTTGTAAAGCCTGCATTGAATTACAGCAAATCCTCTGTTAAGTGTACTATTAACTCTAATGCCTAATTAGCGTGGCATTCTTACAGCTGGAGCGACAAGAACAACATGCATGCTCCCAGTCAATGGTACTATTTATGCTTAGTCACCAAAATTCCGGAACTCACATTTCTGAGCAACGCGGTTCAGAACTTCATCCAGCATTTCTGTGGTTTTCCCAATTTACTTATGTCGGTTAGAGGTCACCAAAGGTCACAGTGGTGGTGTTACTCACTCCCTACAATGGAGACTGGACATATTCTTCCTACAGTGACTGTGTTTTCTCTCAAACTGTCAGCTGACATTACCTCAGAAGTGCTTGATGACTGAAATACATCAAGTGACAAGCTCCCAACACAGACACAGACAATAACAATAAGCTACAGTCCATCTGCTATCAAAGGTAAATGCATATGAAAATGATCCAATGCAACATCTTGATTTGGCAAGACAAAGACAGTCCTGTTTCCCACTTTATAACTGGGCCACTGGCTGTTTGCTTGTGTTTGTTTGGTTACTGTTGATGATTCTGTTACGAAAATGTCTCCCTGTGATTCTCTACATATCACATGGACTGAAGCTCGGGGCTCTGGGTGATCCTATTAACTGCAAATAAAACTAAAGTGACAACAACAACAGTGATTTTTCCAGCACTTAGCCAGCGCCCTACTGACAAACATCATGGCTGTGAAGAAGCAAACAAACTTTTTTTGTATTACATTAAGAACTAAGCTGTTTTAAGAAAGTAGAAGATGTACACAGATGTGAACATACTTTTCTGAGCCTTAATTAATCAGATATACTCAAATACACTGCATACCAATAACTTCTACAGACTACGATTTAACCTTCTAAAGCTGTCCTCTCACATGATATGATTTTTGTTTGTTTTTGTAAATCTTAATGCATAAATCGTCATCTCACTCATCCATTCTCACACAAACAGCCTGCAACTTTGCAAATGAATTATGAACTGGTTAACATCGCTCCTTAACTGAACTCTAGTAAATAAATGTTGATACATTCTTTCTGCCTTAATGGTCAAAGCTGGAATGTTTTTCCTGCCATGAGAGGACTGATATACACAAAGCTGATGGAAACAGGGGGTTGGAGGTGAATTTGCTGGAAGTAATGATTAGCTGATCTCCAGTTTCTACCATGATCACTTATTCATGACTGGAGTATTGACGAGCAAGAGAAAAAGACATTAAATGGAGTCAGGATTGCTTCTGAGAAACAGGAAAAAATCAGTAGCATTATTGCGAGGCTGCAACGCTTCCATAAACTTCAAAATTTGTTGTTGAAATTATCAAATGAAATACAAAACAAAGCCTTACCCTTCTTTGAAAAGTCCATTATTCAACTGTCAGGGAATCAAATATCCCCAAAACTCAATATATAACATGTAAAAACTGATCAGTTGTGAGTCACAGCTCCTCTGCCTGAAGACAACAGCTACAGATTTCTAATGATGCTACATCATATGATCCTGTTAGAGCCCAATCAGGGAGTTTAAGCCTTATACCACAGCTGACTGGCCCTGCTGGCTACAATGCTCGACAGCTGAGAGAACACGCTTGTGGCAGACCATTGAGCACAACACTGCACAGTTTATGCCATTTATTGTTTTACTTTGGTTTCTATTGTGGAGACATGGGAGTTAAAACCGCTGCTGTCAGTTTGTATTCAGCCCCAGTGGATCTCCACAGGCCTGGCCTCAGAGTGCAAGTGAATGATTTTTTTTGTCAGCGAGCTCTAGCTGTCAGAGGGACGCTGAATAACGTGGACCTCTTATGTGTGATGGATTTGGTATAATTAATGAGATGTATGGACCTAAAAGGAGCAGCTATGTGAAGTGACATGAGCTATGAGCTAACGCCTCACCCTGCTATGTCATTGTCCTGCCTGCCTTGAGACCACATAGGTCAGCTGAGGAGTGTTCAGTCAATGAAATTCACCCTAAAAATACACAAATAGATCATTTATATTATGACAGCATGATTTACTCAACAACAGATTTGATTTCTCTATGTCAACCTCTCAATTTGAGGACAAAGAAAGCTGTAATTATCTGGTCTGACAGACATATTTCAAGCTCAGTATTTCCATATAACTGCTCAACAGGAGAAACAATCCTCTCATCTAATAAGATCATAAAAAAATCATAATAAAGCTTTTGTCTTGGCTACTAAAATGCAGCCTAATTGTGATGTCATGCAGGAAATATTCCCACTTTTCCACTGCAGGGATAAAGACACTAAGAGCAGCCAGTCACCACAGAGAGAGTGGGGGCAGGCTGACAGTCACTGAGCTGTCAAACAGAAATCAGGCAATTTCTCCAACGTCCCAACAGCCTAAACAAGATCCAATCAGCATCGATCCTACCTTTGTATTTTTCCAAAACATCCTCATAGGCTTGGAGGTATTCCTGTTCGTCCGAGAGACCATAACCCTGCGGTGCGTACTGAGCCATAACCCGGGCTCCACAAACTGGACATTCACCAGCGGCGGACAGGGACACAGCGTGTGTGTCAGTGTGTGTGTGTATGTGAATGTATGTGTGTGTTTGTGTGCATGTGTATGTGCTGAGGACTCAAGAGTGATCGGCGCTGTTGTTGCACTGAAGGAAACGCCCTACATCCCTCCCTTGTCTGCGCTCTGTCCAATAGGCGACACTTCCTCCCTGGAGTTCACCAGATTGATAGGAAGGACTGCCGGACGCGCTGCGCTGCAAAACATGTCTGACTTATAAACTCCATTGAGCCAATATAAGTCTTAAATGTACTTAAAATAAAAATTGAATCCTAGTCTCTTAACACAAGAGGCTAAATCTCCAAAAGTCCAACCCAATTACGCACGAAATCGCATGAGTGCGTAAATAAGGTATCAAAACCAGACTGAATGAGCGCCTACTTTTTACAGTGTGTAATAATAAACGCTTTTCCTTGTCAGGCGTCTCTGTACCGGCTCGTAACATGGACCACGATCTTTTTCATTGTACTCCACCTGCCAGAGACTTCAGACAACTTTGGCAGATTTACAAGACCACTGTTTGATATTATATCTGTGTCTCTGCTCACAGAGGCCCATCAGCTGCCACTGATGTCACACAGATAACAGTAAGGTGCCAAACTGCGCCCACAACACCCCCCTTTATCGATTTTACAACATCAAATAGAGTCAAAGTCTCATTATAACACAGTTAAGTGCTGTAAAACTTCAGTCATCCAAGCATTTTATCAAAAGTGAAACAAACTTAAATTCCAAGTCAGAAGGATTTATGTGATTTCATCTGCTTAATTCTACCAACCTGACTTTTATTATCAACTTTTGGGGAATATTTTAACACATTAATAAACAATATTAGCCAACAAATGGCAAAGCAAAGTAAAGAAGACAGTAAATAATAAATCCAGATTAGAATCAGACACCGTGCGCAATGTTAATTATTGACTAATGTTGTGATAATCCATTTTTAATGTATTCAAATGGGTGTTTACGCACTGATTTGATGAAAAACAAAGACAAATAAGAGCTGCTTTTTAAATATATCATATCCAAAATAAAAGCAAAACCAAAATACCGTCACATGTGCCACAAATGTAGACCCTATGTCCCTAAATAAAACTGTGGGTATGCTATAGGGGGAGATATACCTTAACAAGTGCTATAATCTCATGCAGCCAGCTTGTGCACCGTATATCACCCCATATTCGCTCATTGTTTTTCTCGTCACGGCGCATTACCATGTGATAACCGGACAACAAGGAGACTGCCCCTTACCTGCGATCCTAAGCACGGCTCTCTCCGCCGGATCCAGCACGGATCCTCCCTGAATTTTCCTCTTGGATCGCTCGTGCCTGGGTAGATTCCAGGGTAATGTGTCCCCGGGTGCAGGTGATGCCGACCCAGATTTCGCACTGTAATCATCCTCGTCTGAGAAATCCGCCGAGGAAGACATGGAGCAGTGCAGGGAAGGGTTCCCCGAACTGGAGCTCTGTGAGACAAAAGAAAACGGGGATAAGGAAAAGGAACAATGCTTGTCTTGGTTACACACACACACACACACACACACACACACACACACAGCTAAAATGATTAAGAGCACAGCGCAGGAATAACACGCAACATATCTCTTTCTTTCTCACCATCGCGGGTCAAAGTGCGTAATGCGAGCACAGGTGTGAGGACGCCGCCGACTCGCAATAATCCATAACAATAAAAAGATTGAACCAAATGAAGGCAATGTGAAATCAATAGTATCTGGCTCCCCCGCCAGGTCAACAACAAGACTTACCACTGTATACATGGAGAGCTGTCAGCTGGAAGAAAAAGAATAACAATCCTATTTGCGCGTTATTAGCCTCCCACCCTTCAGTCACACATTTTGTGCGTCAATTCCAAAAAGGAGGGTGCCACGCCCTTTGAGGGATGCTCCGGCCACGAGTTCGTCTCCTTATCGGAGCATTAAGGATGTGAGGTGATGTCAGATCTCCAGAGGGCTGAGAGGATGGTACGCTGTGCGCAGTCGAGGCAGAGCTGGACCGTGATGGGAGAGCAGCCTGCATGTGTCTCCGCGTCATACCCGGTAGCCAACAACAGCAGCTACCAACAGCGACGGTGGTGTTAGAGCGCCATCCCTGCACAAAAGGTGCTGGGTGGCTACAAATACATCAAACGCGGGGGTAATTAGAGGACAAGGGCTGCCACAGTTTCTCGTGGCGGGGGCTTCACAACAGATGTACATAATACCCACTGAGAGTAGACTGCTGAGTGGACCTTGGATGCAATTACATAACTGACCGTAGATGGGTTTTATCCACACAGGATGCAGTGAAAGCATCCATATATGTTGAGCTAATTACCTGAGAGGATGGGGAGGACCATGGGAGCACAAAAAAAGGATTAAACCGAGTTTAAATAGGTTTAACCAGGTTTAAATTTAAACCAATATAACCAAAATCAAATAAGAAAATTCTTAATGCCATTAAACGCATCCTCGTGGGGATTGTATCAGATTATTCTTTCTTGAATCTTTGATGTCTTCTTTCTAACCTGCTGCAACACAATCCCAATACAGAAAATTAGGAGTGACTGACTTTCTGTTGCAATGTCCTGCTGCACCCTGACACACCTGGGATTGAGCAACAGAACAAATGCAAGTAAACACATGGAGAAAAGGGTGAGGCACAAAATACCTGTATAATGACGCTTCATTTGATTCATTATAAAAGAGTATTTAAAGGGGAAATGCAACATAATACAGACTGCTATGATCCTGAAAGGTAAGTAGGGGAGACCGGGTGTGGTTGTAACACTTTTTGTCTTAGCACCTGTAACTTTTTGTATAAGGGCTCTCAAATTTGACCCAAATTACCCTTATCTGTCTACTACAAATAGCAATGTTTCCAACTTCTTCAATTAATTGCTCTCAAATACAAGGAGTGTTTAAGGCAGGAATGCCATGCTATTATTCCTCCTCTGTGTTCTTTTTCAAAGGTACTATCACAGAATCGGGGGGCAGAGGGATGTCCCCTGTATGATGGCAGTGGAGGTCGAAACAGTGCCCAATTGATGTCGTGTAAAAGAAACAGCCAGCAGGATGGACCCATGGAAGGGACGGGTGTGATGTTTTCACGATGTATTATGTGTAACCTACTCCCTGGAGATTTAAAAAGCAGCTAATAGCAGTTAGCAGCTAACTAAAAGAACTAAAAGTAGAACATCAGCCAAAAACATTGCACATTGGGGAAAATAGTGATGTCTGGGAGCTCATTACCCTCTGAGAGGATGAGATCAGCCGCCATATAACAGGGACGGTAAAATGATTGCTATTGTCATGTTAGTGCCATTGGTAGTGTTTAGAAAGCGCTGCAGACACCCATGTTAATATCTATCTATATGATATCTAAAATCAGATTTAGATTTTAGATTTAGATTTAGATTTAATATTTAGATTTAGATTTAGCATTTAGATTTAACATTTAGATTTAATATTTAGATTTAACATTTAGGTGCCACATTTAATATTTAGATTTAACTATTTAATATATTTCTAAGTTAACAAATATTGCTGTAAATGTGGTAAAAGGTGACGTTAAAAAATTCACAATACTTTTTTAAACATTGTTTGAAGCTAAATGTGGCAAAATGTTGATGTTATTTTCAGCGTGAGACACTTTACAAACGGCACCCCATAACACAGGGGCAGCTGTGTTGATTCAGTTCTTGCAGTATCTGCTCAGCGTCACATAGAGTATTCTTTGAGGATTGACCTTACTGTCTTTCCCTGCCTCACTTTATCTGATGACTGTAGAAGTTCAGTTTTCCACCAACTCCCTTGACGTGCTGAAAAAAGGAGTGAGATAGAAAGATAAAACATGTTTAGCTACCATTGAGGTCAGCTGTGACACTTTTCAAAAAAGTGTTACAACCCCACCCCTGTTGGCCATTGTTTAGCTAGCTGTAGCTGTATGGTCATATGAAATGAACAAAGGTGAAATTCTTAACATTTTACCCAAAGATTAAAGAGTATACACTCTAATCTAAATACATGTTACATAAGTCCAATTTTAACAGTATCAGTAATAATCTAAACATAGACTTGGCCCAGAAAAATACTTTCATATCTTGAAATCAGTGTTTTGCTGTAAAATACTTCTTCACACAGCTATGAAAGTTTCCCATGCAAGCCCAGGAAGGAAGTGGTCACACAATAAATGTATTTAATGACTCATAGGTTCTCCCCTCTTGGTGAAAGTGGTCCTGTTAAAACCATACCCAGTCTCCCATACTAATGAACATTAAGGAATGACTCTGCAGGATTGTCTTGATGTTATTAAAAGGTAAACCTTCATACATGCAAAGATGGAGGATGAACTTAAAAGCTTCTGACGGTGCAGAAAATCATTTCTATTTTTAAATGGTAGTAGTAGTGAAAATCTGTTCCTGGTGCTCAGTCAGAGCTGATAAAAAGCAACATGCTGTTAATATAAGCAGCCTTTTCATCAGGATAAAAAGTGCAGAGCCGAAAGGGCAGCTTAGTGTTGCAGTTTTTATCAGCTAGAAAGTTTATTCATAATTCCTACCACTAAAAGTGAAAAAAACTACATGACTCAAGGAAAGTTAATGCTCCCTATTATGAAATAATTATTAGTTGGGCTGCTATAGGAATAACTGTATGTTTCATATAAGAAGCAAACTGTACAGGGATAAGAAAAGCTGAAACATTAAAGGCCCTTCGTCCCCTCACTTCATACAGGGCTTATCCTCTCCAATAGGGGATGAACACAATTCTTTATTCTTTGTTAACACCTAGTATTCTTTGCTCAGGAGCTGTTACTGTTAAAAAATGGACATAAGGGCATCACCGTCACCTATCTGAATATCATTGTCAGTAAAATCTGAAAACACAGTGGCTAGGTTATCAGTGAAAAATAAAATTGTGATCAAGCCCTGACAGAATACTTTAAATATGTGCAGTTCTTATTCAGTAAATGTCACATTAAAATATCACCTCCAGATGCATATATAAAATATTTCATTTATGACCAGATTCATCAGCGTTGCACACTGTGTTTTAGTGTTGAACATGAATTGAAAACAAGACTGCAACCACTTGACCTGCTGTGAATAGAATATGTGAAGTAGTCAGTGATTCCTTTCCACTAGTCAGGGTCATTCAAAGAGATTATAAGTTAAAAACACAGAATATGGTTTCACTGAGACAAGGCAAACACTCTGGATTATTCATTTTGCACAGTTTCGTGTAGGCTACACATGCTAATATATCATGAATGATGCATGGTAGACCAATCTAGGCCTGCGCTAGTATATGAAGGACTATAACATATTAAAGTCTCCTCACATTCAGCACATCTTCGAGCTCTCATGATTCCATAAATTTTCAGGTTGCTATTCTTCATGTGGTTAAAGTAATATGTGAAACTCCTCTGCCATTTGTATGATAAGAATAACAATATTGACAGGCAGAGTATTGTTTATCTTTGCTCACTGCCACGTTAAGTATTTCACTTGCACAACAAATCAATATCATTTTAAACATTAAAGCTGTAGTTGGTAACTCTTACCAAATGTGTATCAAGATTGTGTTTCTATATTGCCTATTTCTCACCTCAAATGGTTTTCAGAAACATATTTTAGTGTTCTGTTTAGCTGTAAAATGAGAATGTTTGTGACCCAGCTGCCATACTGAAAATATTCAAACTGAAAATTAAGCACCGCCCACTGGCTGGAGCAAACTCTCTTATATTACAGCCAAACAGTACACTAAAATATGTCTCTGAAAACATCTGGGGTGAGAAATAGGTAATGCAGTAACAGAAACTTGATTCATATTTGATCAGTATTGCCCAGTATGAGGGCAGTTCATTAGCAGCAATTGATATGACCTTATTATCAATTCCTCCTCAGCTCTGATTGGTTGTTTTAGTTCAGGTGCGGTATATTTTTGTAAATGCCATCGGAAGCACTAGGAGGAAGCAAAGGAACATGCTTTTGTTCCACAGATTATCTGTCTCTATGTGTACTGCTGTCAGGATGCAATAAACGTTTCAGCAAATATGACAAAAAGGTACTTTTCATAAAAGATACCAACTGTAGCTTTTAGTGGATTTTGTTTCACACATGGCAACAAAATATTTGGTTTAGAATCATCAGAAGTGACTTTAACATATTGACACAACTCTGGTCAAGTTGCTATATATGCTGTTTACTCACAATGTCAGTAAGAAAAAGCCCCAAACTGCTGTTTTGTTACTGAGCCTGTTATCTACCCCGTTATCTATGGTGATGCAACACCACTAATGGAAGCAGCAAATTGCAACACTTTCACACAGATCAATAATTTCCTCTGAACACAGTCAATTCAAACATCACTGTCATGTCAAGTCTTGTCCTAAACTAGGACTTTATACAGCAGTAATAGCTACAGCCCTTACAGTAGCGAGAGAAGGATTTTTAATGTTCTGGACACAATAAATGACATTCAAAATGAAACACCCACAGATTTTGTGATTCTGTGAGTGTGGGATCAGGATTCTTTTCTCTGGAACAAGAAAAATATATTCTCAGATTAGAGCAGCAGCACATACAGTAAACCTGACAAACCAAAGGGGGCCAGTGTGGTTATGTCTTATGTTCCCATAAGTACACATGTCCCGCTGAGGCCCTGTGATTCCTCGGCTCTCTGTTCTCTGTTCCTGCACTTTTATACATTCCCTTCCAGGAAGAAAATGATCAATACATGGGTCAGATGTTACACTGTCTGTTTCCACACATTACTTTTTAACGACACCATCTGAAACAAACCGGTACAGCAACTGAAGGATGGTGAGCACACTCCTGTTTGGAAGCAGAGCAGCTAATTCACGAGGAAACAAAGATACAGAAAGGATCACTGAAGGCCTTACTCTTGTTAACAAAGAGCTGAGCTGTTGATCCATATGAGGATATGTTCCCATGCCAACATAGTAAATTGTTAACAGACTTGAATGGATTAGAGAGGACCTGTACCAGCATGTCAACTTAGATCACTACAATAAGGCAACATGAAAAGATATCATTGAGTCTGTTCAAATAGAGGATTATCATTTGACATTCACACTGGAAATCGGTTATATATATATATATATATATATGATACACAGCTGACATATGATACACAGCTGACACATATTAATATATGTTTGTGCACTCCCTCTGATAACTACAGAATGGCCAACAAATGATGCATATAGATAAATGATTTTATGCTCAGTGATCTGCTGATGCCAGATATATATTACTTTCTTTTTAATGCAAAGCTGCAACACCTTTAGAAACCTTTAGAGACATAACTAATTCTCCCAGTGGGATTAATTAAGTTGTTTTGAGTTTTAACTACAGTATGGTGTCTCACTTTGAATCTAAGCCAAATTTATAGTTTCATTTGGTAATGAACAAATATTTCTAATGACACAAACTTGTATTTGGCTTTAAAAGAAAATTAAAGCAAAATTCGATTACCTATTCCAGAAATGTTAAATTGTTCGTCCTAACTTAGTGTATACATAGAATCTGTCTTTAAAGGGACAGTGCAGCCCCAAATCAGAAATACATATCCTCTCATCTGTAGTGCTATTTATCAAGGGATATTAGAGGATGGTCCGAAAAAGAGAAAATATCCAGTGAGCATCAATTCTTTCATCTGAGGTATGCAGAAGACCAACATGTCGAACTTGAAGCAGATGGGCTACAGCAGCAGAAGACCACACCAGGTGTCACTCCTGTCAGCTAGGAACAAGGCTATAATTCGCACAGGCTCACCCAAACTGGACAATAGAAGAGTGGAAAAAAGTTGCTGGGTCTGATGAGTCTCGATTTCTGCTGTGACATTCAGATGGTAGGGTCAGAATTAGGCATAAACAACATGAAAGCATGAATCCATCCTGCCTTGTATCAACGGTTCAGGCTGCTGGTGCTGTAATGGTGTGGGGGATATTTTCTTGGCACACTTTGGGCCCCTTAGTACCAACTGAGCATGGTTTAAACACCACAGCCTACCTGAATATTGCTGCTGACCGTGTCCATCCCTTTATGACCACAGTGTACCCATCTTCTGATGGCTACTTCCAGCAGGATAACGCACCATGTCACAAAGCTCAAATCATCTCAAACTGGTTTCTTGAACATGACAGTGAGTTCACTGTACTCCAATGGCCTCCACAGTCACCAGATCTCAATCCAATAGAGCACCTTTGGGATGTGGTGGAACGGGAGATTCACATCATGAATGTGCAGCCGACAAATCAGCAGCAACTGTGTGATGCTATCATGTCAATATGGACCAAAATCTCTGAGGAATGTTTCCAGCACCTTGTTGAATCTATGCCACGAAGAATTAAGGCAGTTCTTAAGGCAAAAGGGGTCCAACCTGGTACTAGCAAGGTGTACCTCATAACATGGCCAGTGAGTGTATTTTCTTTCTACCGGACTACATCCACCAACCGTATCGCCGTGCAGAAGGAAGTGTGCATCTACTCATGGAGGAGAGGCTCATGCTTGTGACAGTGCAAGATGAAACATTAATGGTGTCGTCCTTGACTGAGCTGTATTCGCTAGCTCAGTGGTGCTAGGTGAGCTAGCAGTAAATGCACACTTTCCTCTCCTTGGTGATGTGGTTGGTGGGTGTAGTTTTGTAGAAAGAAAATAGTTCCTACATGAAACTGCTCACAAAAAGGTCTGTGGATTATCTTGAGAAACCAGCTCATGATTTCTGGATTTCTGGAAATGTATTTTTAGCGCTTTGAGCACCACAAGCCGAGTGCCATCTAGTTCCATTATATTGGAGAGAAGGCAGACATCTCTGCAGCCAATATCTCCAACACTCTGCAACTCAAACCAGAACAGTCTAGATTGATAAATAGCACTACAGGTAAGAGGAAAAATATGTATTTTTTTTACCTGGGGGTAATCTCACCCTTTAAAACAAAACAAACAAATGTAGGCTCTATAAATGAGTATCCTTTGAGAGCAGTGATTTCACTGTGTAGACAAACACTTGCCCTGCGTCCTTGAGCAACCTACTGAATCCACCAGGTTCAAAGGCACACTGAGGTCCCTGTGGAGGGGAGCAAGCAAAAAATAGCATCAGTATTTTTCATGGGTACAGTTAAAAGGGGGATACCTACAGGTTTGCGTGTGGGGGTGACTTGTACAGACTGGTAAAATTCTGGCAGGACTCTCTTCTTTACTTTGCGTTTTCTCAGAGTCGACGATGAATCGGGTTCACTCTCAGGAATCTCGACCAGATTGGGCTTTTCCTCTGTCACTCGAGCATGTATGCTTCTTCTCGCGTGATGTGGACTGTGCCTGAAGCCCTGGGAAACATGAGCAAATGTCAGACTGGGAACAGATTATACTGTCAGCAGACATGGCAAGAGAAATTAACAGCTCTGAACATAATATGAATACTAATTGTGATTCGGGCTGGGGAGGCACTGTTGTAGTATATGACCTAGATTTCAGCGTCAGAAGTGTTAGAGGAAGATGAGTCAGCAACTCCAATCACGACAGGAAAAGGAAAAACAAACTATGCAATCTCACACATAGTTTTCCTTCACTGAACATTTTTGTAGGTAATGATGGGAGACTGTTCTTCAACATGTAGGCTCAGCAGCTGTCATGTTGTTGTGCCCTTGAACATGATACTGAATCCTGACCGGCTACAGTACTGAGCCGGTGGGGATTCATTGCCCTGTGGTTCAATAACATAACCTGCAAAGGAAGGTAACTATTTGAAACTTTTACATTTGGAACTTCAAAACCACAGAGATTCACATAATAACTTTAGTATAGTGAGTTTTATTTTTAGGCATATTAAATGCAAATGCAATATACAGTAACAAAACTCAAAGGCCTACAGTGTATGGCACTTTCAATATCAATAAATAATGAGTTTGCTTAAAATTTATTGAAATGTGCCACATTACTTTTCACAAACCCCTTTTTAGATTGAATTAAATTACAGAAAATTTAAAAAATAAATGATACCCTGCAAGGAAGATCAATTATTGAAATACTTATGTTTACTAAGACAGCTTTTGCCATGATATAAAAAAAATTTATTTGGAGGTGGTTGTGGTTTTAAGCTCTTTCCATGCATTTTAATAAGACTTCATTTTCCTAGTTTTATTTTGAAAGCAAAGTGCGTAAAACGGAAACAGAGCGGCTGAATCTCTACTTAACACATTTTGGCATCAAACATGATGACATACTGTAAATAGCTTAGGCTATGTATCATAAAATAGTTTGCTTTTCTCCTGGCTTACTTACACCTCAGATTTAACCTATGCCTTTCTGAGAACACTGTACAGATATTCAACTCTCCTCAAAGAATGAAACTGCAGAATCTCCTACATTATTTATTGATGGTAACACATGCGCATTGCGCACATCACGGTCCTTAAAATAGTCATGCAGTTAACTGTAAAAGTCCAAAGAAGCAGGCTTTTGGGTGAAGCATCTCTCGTATTATTCTGGAAGCTCATAACTGCATGAGGCGTTCACGTATCTAACTCCTGATGTCATTCTAGCTGTTTGATATCACAGGGGACTGAGTCAGGCTCATAATTTAAAAAAGTTCATCCTACCTCTGATCGAAAATGATGTGACCGGAGGCCCACTATGGGACAGATAACAGATGTTAGTATGAGAACATTTACATTCAAGTATGACATGGCAGATACCAACTATAGACTGTTATATGATCAATAATAAATACAGAAATGTTAAGCTACAAACTAATAACACCCTCTGTGTCTTCACAGTCAATATGAGTGCGCATATGTTGTCACCTACAGCCCATACTGCAGATATGGGTAGACTTTACAGCTTGCTATATGATATAAAACAGACTGAATACATCCAGAATATGCAGTTACAGACATAAGCTGTCAGGATGAGGAGATGCGGCTGGCCTGCGTTACTCACCGCGGTTCTTGGTGCGTCCGGAGAGCACTGATTTTATTGGATGTTTCCCATTACGGAGCCTGCGATGCCAGCAGCAGAAAAACAAAATAGTCGCTATAGTTCCGAGCAAAAGCAACAATAAGAGCAGCACACATTGGATACTGTACGGCCTTAACAGCACCAAAAACGCCGCAGCAATCATCATAAGGCGAGATGTAGGACAGATCCCGCAGCCTCAGACAGCAGGCTCCTCTCCTGCCGATGTGTCGCTGCTGCTGAGAGCTCAAGATGAGGAGAAAGACACTGACTGACATACGTGAAGCATCGCACAGCACACCGCGTAAAGCGCACAGGTTCAAAGAAGACAGCCCAGACTATTGATATCATTATTGTAGGGTACAATGCATGACTCAGCAGAGACGCAAGTTTTATTTATTTTTTTTTTCTAACAGGGGCAGGGAGAGTCAGCAGATTCAGCTGAGCATCGCAGTAATCTGCTGCAGAGTCGGCTGACCAAACCATGATGCTATCATACTATTAACTACTATTACAGACCTATGTGTTTCTGTGAAGCTCAACAGTACAGTGACACAGTTTATAGGGAACGTAATGTGCATTTCCATCCTATAATACACCAACAATGTTACTACAATATATCATTAGTAATGCAATATGTATGTCTGACATAATTCATTTTAAGTAGTGAAATGTACTCTGTTGTTCTAAAAGGCTCTGAAATGAGGCAGGTGCAATGAACAGACCCTTTTAGGATTAGAGCAAAAAATAGGAACCAACTCTAATCATAATCCAACATGGGTTATGTAATTTTTTGGGATGAACTGATGTCATTTAGAGCATTTGTTTTTTCTTCAGTCAAATAAAAGACACAGGCAAGCAAAGTATGACGAGAAAAACATTTTATTTATAGAATTAAAAATACCAATTTTGCATCCAAACAAACAATCTGTAGGTATGTATGTTAACATGTGTCTACTAGGGGTGGGAATCACCAGAGACCCCACGATACAATATTATCAGGATACTTAAGTCGTGATACAATACTATTGCAATTTTAAACTTGTTACAATATGCTGAGTATTGCAATATATACTACAATATATTGTGATTTATTACCTTGTTTCAGTGGCATATTATACCCAAACATAAACAGTTTTATGAATAAAATAAAGTAACAGTCTGTTCATCTCAACTCAAAGCAACTAGTAATACTATTCTAGTAGGCTACCTAAAATTTAATTTATATTTGTAATATCAATAATTTAATTTAAAAAAATTTATACTTAGTGTCCGTCTAACAATACAATATTGCCACACAATAGATCATGATACTACGCTATCTCACTTTTTTCCCCCGCCCCTACCTAATATGCAACAGCCATACTGTTTGTGTATGTGAATGTGTCTTTATATACAGTAAACCAATATACCATACATTGCATGTGTCAATATATATTTTACATGATGACAAAATAAATGATTGTCATGTATGTAGGGTTGCAACAGTGCAACATTTTCACAGTACAACAACCCTCTCAGAAAATGTTGCAATTTCACAGTTTCACAGTATGTCAGAATTATTATTATTATCAGTCAGAATGACCCTTTAAAGAGGAAATGGAGGAGTTATTTTTGGTTGAAAGAAACATTTTATTATTATAACTGAAACTTGAAACCATCTTTTGAGTATGTGTAAAAAGTCTTCCTTTTGAAAATGACTAAAATAAAGGTGGGATTCTCTATCAAGTTACTTTTTTTTCTCAAATATCGTGGGTAAGTAAATGTACATGGTGTGAAAACTGTTAACTTTCATATCAAGCTCTACAACCGGTATACTGCTACAACCATACATGTATGTTACCATACATTTAAACTACTGGAATGTTTATATCCTCCTTAGACCCAGCATCCTCATATGAGGACATCACATTTTGGGTTTCCTGCACCTCATACTTAATTTTGCTCAACTTAGACCTGTTGTCCTCCTTTGAGGGCACCTTTATGATCAGTCTACAGCTGACACAAAAGTGGACAAGGTACAAAAGCTGATCAGATTTCATGGATGAAATTAGTTTATTTGTGCTAAATAACCGTCTGTAGTTTGATATGGAATACACATTTGACAAATTTTAGCAACAAGCTAAAGTGCTGTTAATCAGGAAGTACTCATTTGAGGACTTTGATACTTAATTATCATCTGGCTTGAGGTCACTGGGGCTTTATTATTGTACTATCCCATCATTTCACACAGGCCAAATAGGCGTGACTGTTCCCACAGATAAAAAGGACATTCGTAGACTGGAGTACAGAGCAGAGAAAATATAATACAGAGCTTTTAGATATTTTGCATTATTTACAATTTTGTTTTGCACAGCCATGTTCAGACATTGAAATCAACAGTTGTAGATGTGAACAGTGACCTCTAACCCATTCAGTTACAAGACATTAAACAATTGTTGCATTGTTTGTAATTTTGTTTTTGCATAACAGTGGTCAGGTATTTAAATTAACAGTTTTTTACTTTATTACACACTTGACTATTAAAAATAAACCCAGTGTCCCCATATGAGGACATCCTTTTTTCCAAAAACTTTCTCCTGTTCAAAGGCAATACCTAGATTTTTATACTTATCAGGTCCTACATTCCCAAATAGCTCTGAGAAATTAAAAATACATACCAAACAAAAGCTGGGGTCTCAGGAGGATATACCATACGTTGCCTTGTATAGTATTATTAAATGTAATAAATGGATGTTATTGCTATTTATATACTTGCATACAAGCTGTAACAAAATATGAATGATTCTCTGTGTCAGCATATGGGTACCTGTACCTACCTGTTAAGTTTGTACCACATATGTTAATATATATCCATACAATTAACTGCCAAGAGTGGTGAGTTTTGAGTATGTCAATATATATGTCTTTGTGACTGTAAAGAGACTTTAAGACTGTAAAACCTAATGAAAGAGACTTGGACTGGCCACTGCGAATTACTTATAGACATGAATGTTGTGTTTAAGGACTACAGTTGCACCATAAAAGTTATGTCCACACAATCACAATGCATTTATAAATAAACATTATTAAAATATTTTTGAACCTGCAGTTATTATTCCAGCATGACCACGCATTTGTGTTGCGCATAAAGTACATGCAGTATTCTGTTAATAGTGTGCGGTAAGTACAGCTTTAAGTTATTCTGAGTGATAGTTTGCGATGGTTTCACACTTCAGCCCAGACAATGTATGACCAGACGGGCGGAGTTTTTCTCTTATTTGTTTTGTCTCAACGACCAGTAACCCCGCCCGTGCGGCACACTCTGCATAAAAAGGAGCGCTTCACTCCCATGTGACGTTGCAGACCAGGCTAGCTGCGTTTGCTTTGATTTGCGATGTTGTAGCTAGCTACCACTCCGTCAAACTGAGGAGCCAACACAGTAAGCAGTAGGTAATGTGATGCTCAGCTTCACTCATCTGTTGATTTCAACCATATTTCAATATAGCCAACCCAAGTCGAACTTAGCGTGTTTGCCGTGCGTTACCTTGAGGTGAAGACGTTGCAACCGCTAACGTAAGAAAGCTACCGTTAGCTTACCCAAAGCCTGGACGTTAGGCACCACTTCCGTCAGACTGAAACGCTCATTACAAGATTTCGCTGCTATTAAAGTTGCTAAACAGGAGACGGTTGATAATACAAACACATCAGAAGGCAGTTGAACTTCTCAGGGACGGAGTAGGATGTTTCACACCGATGTCAAGTAGCAGAAATACGACTTAAGCCGATGGGTTGCAGCTAGCTATGTGACTTAACGCTGAACTCAATACAGACCATAGGAATTGCAGTGGCGCTAACTTCTAGACGGTTGGGGTGCTGTTCAGCAGCTCTGCGCTCAGTGCTGCTACAGGTGGCCAAGTGATGTAGGGCAACAACACCGCGATTTAAGTGCATAGACAAGAGATACTCAACTCGGTCTGTCCAGGGGCCACTTTTGCAAAATGACAGGTGGCCAGGGGCCAGGTGCAGAAGCCGTTCACAGGGCAGGTTTACGCAGGGGCGTGTTTAGGATTTGAGGACATCCGGGGCTTTGCCTGTACCCCTGTTGGGGGCCAGGGGGATCCTCCTCCGGCACTTTCTTAATAAAAAAAAAAGCTCTCTTTATGCCCCCTGGTATGCTAGTTATGTTAAAAGTGAAAAAGAAATTCCCATTTTCAATCAACTTATTTTCATTGTGAATTAGAAAATGGTTGCGGGCCAGATTTGAATCACTCGTCATCACCACCAGTACTCGGGTGGGTAGGCAATGAAATAAAATACAACCAATGTTATATTATATTGTTGTATTATATCAAAGTAAATTGTGTTTTTGTTACCTTACTCAAGTGTCACATCAATGTGAAATCTCCCTAACGGTTGCTGAGTTTAATAACTGCCTTCTGATGTATCTCACATCCATCCATCCATTTACATCCACTTATCCGGGGCCGGGTCACGGGGGCAGCAGGCCAAGCAAAGCACCCCAGACTTCCCTCTCCCCAGCAATGCTTTCCAGTTCACTCCTGGGGAACCCAAAGGTGTTCCCAGGGCAGATGAGATATGTAATCCCTCTACCGTTCTTTGGGTCTGCCCTGGGGCCTTTTACCCATGGGACGTGCCCGAAACACCTAAGCTGACCCCTTTTGACACGAAGGAGGAGCGGTTATACTCTGAGCTCCCTCTGGATGTCCGAGCTCCTTACCCTATCTCTAAGACTGAGCCCAGCCACCCAACGTAGGAAACTCATTTCACTCACTTGTATCCGCGATCTCATTCTTTCGGTCACTACCCAGAGCTCATAACCATAGGTGAGGGTTTGGACTTAGATGGACCAGTTGACCGCATCACTGTAGAAGCTGCACCAAACCGCCGATCCATCTCAGGACCCCAAGATACTTGAACTCCCTCACTTGAGGCAGTAACTCTCTCCTAACCTGAGGGGGGCAATCCAGCGGTTTCCATTTATTACAGTTATATTAGTATTGTTCTTTGAGCAAGCTTAGTTTCTTTTATTCTAGCTACATTTGCTCTATATGAGAACTATAGTGGGGCAACCAGCTGAACAAGTGATACACCTGTTGACTCAAAATGTGGCCAAATTACCTGCAACTAACTAAACATTAGTTTTTGTGCTATTGTTCATGGTTAGCTAAATCATAATGTAACTGGTCATATGCCTGTTAAAATATTGCTACTGACATATGTCCTAATTTTAATGGTTTCAAGTCAGCAGGTCTTACACTAAAGCTATAGTTGGAGCAGTACTGTTACTGACACTATGGTCCACACCATCTAGTACACACACACCCTCCTCTTACATGCATGTTCAGAGTAAGGGCTGCAGCTTCAACAGTGACATCAGTTTGTTTTTCCACAGATAAATGTCTTCTCCAGCTCAAGCGGACGATGATGAGGTGGAAGAAGTGGAGTTTGTATCAGTAAGTCACGAGTACAATTTATTTAACAGAAATTTGCCTACTTTCAGTCTCTTCTTGACTAACTGTGTAAAATCTTAAACCTAGATAATCAGACTGAATTGTTAAAATGAATAAACCACCCTTTTATATCATACAGTTTTTGCAGATGTA